GCGGCCACCATCCGAGAGACGACGGTGGCGCCGCCCAGTGACAGCTCGGACACCGAGGAGGAGCCAAGCCGCACGCCGCGGCCCGACAGGCGGCGCTGGCGACGCCGGACCGACCGCGAGCCGCCGGCCGATGACGAGGGCGCCACCGAGCAGCCAGAGGTTAGTGGGTTGCCGACCGGCGGCGAGAGGTCACTGCGGGGGGTGCGGCTGCCGTAGATTAATGGGCCGACCATCGGCGGCGAGAGGTCACTGATCTCCGCAGGGGCGTGCGGCTGTCATAGGTTAGTTATCCCCCTCTTTGAGTGCTATAGGATTCGTAGAAACCACAGGGGAGGGTTGGAACGCATCGCAATGGCAGGTCAGTTAAAGAATGTACGGCAGCGACAGACGAGCGGTCTACGGTCCATACAGGGCGGCTGATCATGAGCTGAACAGATGGCGGCTTGGCTCATAAAGGCCAGGTTTTGGCGCGGGTCATGTCTGGGTAAACGAACCATTATTACCTGAGCATCTTAAATGTATAAATGAGCAAAGCCACACCACATCAATCCCCTTTTCACTGGCGACACCTTCAAGATCATGACAAATGCTCGCAGATGATGCTTGCGCGCGCAGCCAATGCAGCACCATCCCCCTGCGGCATCCGCAGGGCTAACCACTGCCCCCCCCCCCCCCCCCCCCCCGGCAGCCGGGTTCTGCCACGCTGGCTCAGGTGACGTCCAATATCTGGGGCACCAAGTTCCGCGTGCTGGGCCTGGCGGCCTCCATGCCGGCTGACTTGGGCCAGATCAGCTACAAGACGTCGCTGCTGCACCTGCAGCCGCGCCAGATGACGCTCGTGATGACGGAGCTGAACCGAGACGGAGCAGCTGTCCTTGTGCCCGCCGCCCGCCGCGGCAGCGAAGAGGACGAAGGCGACTGTGAGTGAACCGAACCACGGAGAACGTGAACGTCTGCTGTCTTCCGTGCGTACCTGTTCTGTTGTAAACGTGCGATCTGTTCGTACGTGAGACTGATTTGCATTTGGATTTACCTATATTACATGTGACGATTATGTGGATGATAATAATTTTTTCTGCGGTGAAATGTGCCCAGGTGTTATGAGCTTGTAGTAACATGTGGTGAGGCAAGGTATGGGTCATGCATAATTTCTGCAGGCATCGGACGCGGTCAAGTGATCACAAGTACGTTATACCGCCCTCTGTAACGCTCAACCTCCATGCGTGTTCGCTGCGCCCAGGACCACCGACCCATGCGTGCCTACCGCCAGGTCACATGCGCCACATGTCCACCCAGTCGTCGGCGTCTGTCTCGGATAGCGCCCTGGGACCGACGGCGCCCCTGGCGACCCCTCGCTTGCCGCGGCCGCCGAACCAGGCTGGCCACCAGGCGGCGCCACTGGGGCGTGACCGGTCGCTGAGCCGGCGCGACTCGCCGCGGCTGCCGCGCCGGCCGCGGCCGCCCGCCTCCCCGCTGCGCGCCGACGACACCGACGACGAGCTGCACAGCGCCGCGCTGGCCGCCGCGCCCGAGCTGGCGCACCTGCGCGAGTCGCTGCTGCGCATGAAGCGTGAGATCGACGCCAAGATGCGCCCCGAGCCGGTCGACGCCCACTCGAGCAAGGTGCGCGTGCTGAACGGACTCAATGCGCTGGCTAGCCCGCGTCGCATGGCGCGCTCGCACAGCGTGAACCGCGGCGACCGCTGCCACGTGGCGACGCCCGGGCGCGCCGCCGAGCCGCCGGTCGGCGAGCTGGTCGGCCGACGCACCTCCTCTGCGCCCGCCGCAGGCCCGCCGCCGCCCGGCAAGCCGGAGCGTATCCCGACCGGCGCCGGTTCGCCGTCTGCGCAACTGGAAGCGCTCAAGTTCATCGACGACGACGAGGAGGAGCGGCCGGTGGCTCCGCGCAACATGCCCAACCGCAGCCAAAGCCTCAACTTCATCAGTGGCCACAGTCTGAGCCTGGACCTGGTGGCCGAGGCGGCCAGCGCGCCGCGCACGCGCGTCGTGCTCGTGCCCAGCACCGGGCACCGGCTGAAGCGGGTCAAGAGTCACAGCCTGGACGCGACGCCGGCCGGAGCTCTCTCCGACTGGCTGCCGGCGACCGGGCCGGAGCGGCCACGCCGCGCCGCCGCCGCCGGCCGCCGCGCCGCCGCGCCGCCTTCGCTGGCGCCGCGCGCGCAGCTGCGCCTGCCCGAGGAGACTCGCGGCAGCCAGAGCAGCCCGGTGACGCCCGTGGCGCGGCGCAAGGAGCGCAAGACTACTGGCACGCCACCTATCGGGTGAGCAGGCCGCGGTCCGCTCACTGCTCACTGTGACGCGGGCTTGGTGTGACTTTGTTTTGTGTATTGATCGTCATTTATTTGCACACTGGGGTGCAGCCTAAGGATGAATAGCTATGCATTCTAACACTATGTGCTGTCTAATGGTGGCATATTTGCGTTGGTCTGTTTCAAGAGATTGCACACATTCAGCGTACAGCTGGAATTGCACGTACGACTGGTGTATTGTTCAACAGGCTAGGTAGAAGACACGAATTTTGTATGCTCTTTGCATGTTCATAGCTCAGTGATTATCAAAAGGCATGGTGGCACTCTTTTCGAGGGCATTTCATTCACTTGCCTGGTAAAGACAATGGCCATGACGACTGTTAAAATGAACTTGAATCATAGCAAAAATATCTGCGAATATGTTCCAAATTTCCCGTCAAATCACCGTCTGACCATGTTTATGGAACACGTAAGATAAGCAAGGCAAACGTGTGTCATTCCAAACGTCCTCTCATTCCTTCCTAGTTCCTTGTCTAGGTGATTTGATATTTCGGAGCGTCTCAGCATGTCCTCTTGAAGGGTGAAGTGTGGCCCACCGAGCAAAGGTCTCGCCCTCGGGCTCAAAAGACACCAGTCAGACGTGCCGCTTGACACCAGGGTCGGGGGCGTGTCTGACCTCGTCCGCTCGGCGACAGGGTCGGGGCGTGTCTGACCTCGTCCGCTCGGCGCCAGGGTCGGGGGCGTGTGTGACCTCGTCTGCTCGGCGACAGGGTCGGGGCGTGTCCGATCTCGTCCGCTCGGCGACAGGGTCGGGGGCGTGTCTGACCTCGTCCGCTCGGCACCAGGGTCGGCGCGTGTCTGACCTCGTCCGCTCGGCGACAGGGTCGGGGCGTGTCCGACCTCGTCCGCTCGGCGACAAGGCTGGAGCGTGTCTGACCTCGTCCGCTCGGCGCCGACAGTCGACGTCTGCTGAGTTCGCCTCTGCTGTGCCGCCGTCGTATGCCCAGCTCCACCGACTCGTCTGACGAAGAGGTCACAGAGGTCACAAGGTCGCGACCTTTCACCAACCTTGAGTCGCTGCAGAGGAGTCAGGTCAAAAATAAGGTCAGTGGTGAAAAGCTGGCATGATGCTGAGATGTGTCGGATACATCTTGGCCCCGTAATGGTCACGATACTTGTGCGGGCTGCCCTGTGATAATCAGTTTAACTCTGGGCGAATGTGACCTTATTCTTTGGTACAGCGGCAAGCATTTTGGTTTTGTGCCGTGGGATAAGCCCTGGCTTAAGTAGATATCCGATTGCATGCACTGCCGCGCTATTTCGCACGCTCACTTTTCTCACACATGTGCCTCATCCCCCAGCTGCGGCGTGGCATTCGTGACTCGTCGCAGACGGACGGCGCGCCGCCGCCGCCGCCGGCGCCGCGCCGCGCCGAGCCGCCCTGCCGCCAGCTGATCATGCACAACATCGCGCCGCTGTGGAACGAGTCAAGCCAAGTGTACCAGCTGGATTTTGGTGGCCGTGTCACGCAGGAATCGGCCAAAAACTTCCAGATTCAGTATTGCGGTGACCAGGTGGGCGACACACGGCGGTCAGGTCCCGAGACCTTCTGGGATGCTCTGAAGAGCAAGTTCAAGTCATCTGATGGGGGCTGGAGTCTGGCTTTAGGATGCCCTGGACGACACAGCACTTGGCTGGGTCTCTTGTTTTAGTGGCGTCCTATATCTGTCTTTTAATTGGAGACACGCGGCTCCACATGCAGAAGGCTGTCCGCTGGGTTCGGCCACAAGGTATGATCGATCACACTGATAGCTGAGCGCGGCAATCAAGTCTGCAAAACCATGCTCTAACCGCCATTGGTAACTCGACCGGCCGTGTTTCACCGTGACACTGACTGAGCGTGCGTCACCGTGACGTGGGTCGACTGCGTCTTACTACGACACTAAAAGAGTGCGTCTCGTTAAACGAGTGCGTCTCACCATGACACTAGTGGAGCGCGTCTCACCATGACACTAGTGGAGCGCGTCTCATCATGACACTAGTGGAGCGTGTCTCACCATGACACTAGTGGAGCGCGTCTCATCATGACACTAGTGGAGCGTGTCTCACCATGACACTAGTGGAGCGTGTCTCACCATGACACTAGTGGAGCGCGTCTCACCATGACACTAGTGGAGCGCGTCTCACCATGACACTAGTGGAGCGCGTCTCATCATGACACTAGTTGAGCGTGTCTCACCATGACACTAGTGGAGGGCGTCTCATCATGACACTGGTGGAGCGTGTCTCACCATGACACCGGCCTATCATAAGCATCACTACACGGACCATTATATTGTATCATTATGCTATCCCGGCATGTTTTGCCATGGCACTTATCGAGGGTTTCTTACCATGACTCTGACTCCGCATGGCTCACCATGACATTGACTATGCATGTCTCATCACAGCAGCGGCGAAGCCTGACTTGCAACGACGGTGGCAGGGTGCGTCCCGCCACGTTACTGACAGAGCGTAACCCCCCACGACCTCGGAGCGCCTGGTGACCTGGACTGGCGTGGGTGCACGGTCGTGAACGCGGCTGACCGGGCGTCTGCCGTCCCTGCAGGTGATGCAGTTCGGTCGCATCGATGGAAACGCGTACACGCTGGACTTTCAATACCCGTTCTCCGCCGTCCAGGCGTTCGCCGTCGCTCTGGCAAACGTCACCCAGCGGTTCAAGTGACACCTACCCATCTCACCGACACCGGAGGTGCGTGCGTTGGCACCGGGCCGTCTCACCACTAGCGCAGTTGCCCACACGGTTGCAGGTCTGCACCCCATGCCCCCGTCCCCCTCCCGTCCCTCTAGCTCTCAGCCCAGCCCTTAACTCTTAGCTCGGGCCGGTGCAGGTCGGAAAACGGCAGGGTCATCTCTCCTGAGCCAAATACCCAGTGCGGAAGTACGAACCTCTTGCGTCATTGGGGCTTTTGTATCGTGGGACCTGAGCTACAGCGATTATGTTTGGTGACGACGTTAGATGTTGCCACACTTTCACGCTTTTTCTGCTGCAGGTGCTAGGCGAAATGGAGCCAATGGTACTGGAGAGCTGGTGAAGCCCACAGTCCACAGCGCCCCTGGTGTTGGTTTTTCGAACTACAACGGTCACGATTTTGCCAACGAGGAAGCCGCTGTGGCGAACCTTGCGTCCAGTGCAGCCCGCTGGCGCCGCCTGTCGGAGCTCGAGTCAACCACAGTCTGCGGGCCGCAGACCGCTGTTGCCTTCACGGTATTAAGCCTTCAGTGGTATAACGAAGTGGCCGGGCGTGCAATTGGTTGTTCAGCAGTGCAGCGGCGGCTGTCAGCCGCTGTGCGCTGTGCACATCGCGGCCATCTGTCTACAGCGCGTTGTGTCGCCGTTCTAACAGCTGACACTGTGCAGGCGACAGAGCCCTGGCTGGGGCAGAGTTGAGCCTGAAGCCAAGCGGCAGCGACGTCTTTACAGGTTCAGACTGTCCATAAGGGTGCATTCCATACTGTATTAGGCTATTTATCACCGACGGACAGCAGTCTTTACCATTCAGAGTCGAAAGACGAAATGACAACTGTCCAGGTCCTTTCGCGGAGAAAACCGTATTTTTGGTGCGTTCCCGATAATGTAGCTTTTTAGCGAACGAATAAACAACTTTTCCTCGGAACAGACGCTGATAGTTGGCTAGCTGTTTGCTCATTTCCCGGCCTAATGATTCACCAAATTTTGCGATCATCTATTCCGAAGAATTATAAAAAAATTATGCCATACCCTTCCCGCTTGTATTGTTAAGTAAGGCACTCCCTTCACGGATAACCAAAGCACACGCGAACTAGTTCCATAAGGCTCTGTTATGCCAGCGTAGCTCGCTTGGTCCTTTAGCATTTCTTGTGAGTGCAATATTTTCACGATTACGTGTACAAATGTATTGCTTAAGCCCCTGTTCGTTGTTCAGGTTGAAAATGTTTGAGATCAAAAGAAGCAACGTTCGATGTGTTGCAATACCGAATATGTTGACCCCTCGCATGTTTCGTTGTAGGTGTGCCGCTGTATGTTATAAGGAGGGGGGGGGGGGGGGGTCGGTCTCTGGTCGTGGTCTGGTCTGGTCGTGACGCAAATGAAGCCTGCAGATGGCGATCGTTACAACCAAAGTGAAAATCGTGAGCGCTCCCCGTGTCAAGACTGCAGACAATCCGCTCATGTTTACAGTTCTATGTCAAGCTCTAACGGCTTCAGAAATCGATGTACGCGCTTGTGTGATTGGCTGCCCAAGGCTTGAGGGAGGAGCGTAGACCCCGCAAATTACATGTAATATGTATTACAGTATTACTCTATAGAGCGAAGCGTCACTGTCGGCCGGGCTAGCTTTGCACAACGGCCACCGTCGTGCTCCGATCGCCAACATCAGAGAAATTACACGGAAGTCGACCCCGAAATGGCATTGAGGGCGACAGGACGGTCTCCGTTCTGCTGGCATTGTCGGCTATCTCGTTGGTTGTATGTACGCGCAATGAAAAGTATTCAAAAATGTTCACCGACCCGGTATACCGAAATCGTTGAAACGGGCTGCCTAATCCTGCACCTGGAACGAAGACGCCCTTGGTGTCAGCAACACAGTCGCGCCCAGCTCTCTGCAAAGGAACCTTGCAAATATTTCAACCATGGAAAGCACGTTCTGCTCCAGCACATACAAACTCTTGCAGCACGGTGCGATTACCCAAGTTTCCCCAAATGGAGGAAGTTGTTGCGGCGCAGCCGGAGGGCCGCAGTATGATGTCGCCCTAGGTGGGGCGTCAGCCGGTGTAACGCAGCACTGCCGAGCCACACTCTTGGTTTGCGGTCGTCAGTTGTGTGCTCTACCCTTGCGGTAAGATACTACTTCAGCTTTATAACAGTATTAAAGGAAAATACACGACTGATGGTGTGAAACAGGTGTTTTGCGGCACCAGACTGGGTGGATGGACTATGACAATGTTAGCTCGACGCATGGGTCAATGGCGGGTGATAGATGGTCAAAAAGCCTCATGGCTAAATATATATATATATATATATATATATAATAAATACTAAAGAAAGATAAATGTTTAGGTATTGGTCCAACATAAACCGCTTGCAATTACTTAACCTGCAATTACTTAACCTGTTAACCTGTAAGAAGGAAATAAACCTGAAGCTCTTCAAGCACCAGTCGTGCAGCAATAAACGCTAAAACGATACTTTCTCAAATTAAAGTTAGCTATAAGGGCACTTCACATGCTGTTCGCGGAGCGACATTTCTGCAAGGCCACTCTTTCTACATATTGTATTAGCTGTGCAACTTCCGACACGACGCTGTTCCAGTGTCAGCCGTCCCGATCTCTCTGTCCTCCCCCCCCCCCCCCCCCCCCCACGCGTCCCGCACCGTCCCGACCTCGCCGCCCAGCCATGTGACCCACCGCCGCCGGCTACGGGCGGACACCCGCTGACCTAGGGTCACGCGGCGGCCGACCGCGGCAGGTCCGATCGCGCCAGACACACGCCCAGCCTTACACTTTTGCCCTCTGTATGTTGGTGAAAGCTGAGCGGTGCAAGTATATTGACGTCACACCATTTCCTAACTCCAACATGCGACGGCATCCGAGCACCGTTGAGCGCGGAGCTGCGCTGCACCGCACACCAACACCGCGCCAATACCGCGCACCGGTCGCTGACGCTTCTAAATTCGACCGCCGATCGCGCCAGCGAAGAGAACCATCGCTCAGGCGCAACTCTGTGAGGACGCAGACCTAAACTTGGTGGCGATTCGTTGCAAACTAGAAAACAGAGATCAGCAGGAGAAAGCAGTGTGACCAAGATGATCTTGCCAACCGTCATACACTCCCCACAAAACCATCCGATCAGCATCGATCCGCTCACCAAGTCAGGGGCCAGCGATATCAGCTGCGTTTTGATCCCCTTCGAACAAGGATCAGGGATGACAATGACTTGTCGGCGCCAACGATCCATGCCAATCCCCAGCCTAGTTTACTTCATTAACTCCCCGACAAACTTTAACAGCAGCAAAAGCGGTTACATGATACGGCGTTGCGATTGCCAAACAAACCAGTATCACTTTTGAAAACTAACGCTGAAATTCACAGCGCAGATGTCACCAAAAAATCCAGCTTTAAACAGATCAAAATAGCGTCAACAACTGCCAAAGCATACCACCTGATCAGAACTTACAAAATCTGAATCAGGCCACGGTCAATATGATTTAACAATCGCATCGACCCGGTGGGACAGGCCCTGAGCTACCCTGCGCTCGGTTCTCTCGGGCCTGCCCCTCCAGATCTGAAATGCGGGACAAAATCGGATCCAGCGCCGACGACGCCACAACACCAGTCTTTACCTGCCTAACAGTTGCAGTAGCGGACTCATCTGGCCTGACAGACGCTGCACGCCTCTTAACCGCTCTCCGCACATAACGTGTTGTCTTTTTAACAGCACCCACAAAAGAGGAAATTCTCGCAGAAATGATCTCCGATGGATACGGCTCCCGCAGTATGCAGAAATTTTTAACTGAGCAGCACCAGGTCACCCTGCTGCCCAGGAAAGGCACGTTTCCCAAGATTTTTAAACGTAATCACGAGCAAACTCAGTAACTCACGGGCCGAACACCAGCTTCTACATACGTTTGTGGGCATCCAAGGCATTTGGTTTTGCGAACAAGTCACGCAGGCCGCCGATAGCCAAGCTATAAGCCGTTCGGTGGGCTGTTAACAAAAAATAAAAAGCGTCCAAGGCTTCGCCAGACAGGCAAAGTGGCAGAAATCACAGCTTAAAATTATCATCCCAGCCATTCACTGATGGAAATATTTTGAAATCAGCAACGAATCTGTTTAAGGGCCTTTCTCCTATGAGCCTTGCCCCCCCCCCCCCCTCCAGAATTGAGACAACCCAGCCATCCTAGCGTTTTGCTCAACACTCTCCGCGAGCCCTTTTTCAGCTCCGGAGAAACCGTTACTTTTCGAGTCTTTAATCTTCCCCATATTGCCAATTTCCTGATCCCCTGAGAAAAAAAACACGATGTGCAGAGGAGAGCCACACAGATCAATTAACTGATACACGAAAACATGACCAACGATGCAGCAAAATTAACTTGACCCTGGGCGAGAACGGCGTGATCGGCGTCAGCAGGAACCAGACGCGATGAGTCTCCAGTCCACCAGCTGCCGCTCCAGAAAGACGAGCGCCGGTGTCACGGATCAGCGGGAGACGAGCAGGCGCCACCAAACGCCAGCGGGAGACGAACAGGCGCCACCAAACGCCAGCGGGAGACGAACAGGCACCACCAAACGCCAGCGGGAGACGAACAGGCGCCACCAAACGCCAGCGGGAGACGAACATGCGCCACCAAACGCCAGCGGGAGACGAACAGGCGCCACCAAACGCCAGCGGGAGACGAATAGGCGCCACCAAACGCCGGCGGTGGACGAACAGGCGCCACCAAACGCCGGCGGGAGACGAACAGGCGCCACCAAACGCCAGCGGGAGACGAACAGGCGCCACCAAACGCCGGCGGGAGACGAACAGGCGCCACCAAACGCCAGCGGGAGACGAACAGGCACCACCAAACGCCGGCGGGAGACGAACGGGCGCCACCAAACGCCAGCGGGAGACGAACAGGCACCACCAAACGCCAGCGGGAGACGAACAGGCACCACCAAACGCCAGCGGGAGACGAACATGCGCCACCAAACGCCAGCGGGAGACGAAAAGGCGCCACCAAACACCAGCGGCAGACGAACAGGCGTCGCTAGACGCCAGCGGGAGATGCGCAGACGTCTCCAAACGCCAGCGGGAGACGAACATGCGCCACCAAACGCCAGCGGGAGACGAACAGGCGCCACCAAACGCCAGCGGGAGACGAACAGGCGTCGCTAGACGCCAGCGGGAGATGCGCAGACGTCTCCAAACGCCAGCGGGAGACGAACATGCGCCACCAAACGCCAGCGGGAGACGAACAGGCGCCACCAAACACCAGCGGGAGACGAACAGGCGTCGCTAGACGCCAGCGGGAGATGCGCAGACGTCTCCAAACGCCGGAAGGAGACGAGTAGGCGCCGCCAGACGTCAGCAGCAGACGAGCAGGCCAGCAGCTCTTGGACTTGGACGCCTTCCAAGTGAGGGGAAACAGAATAACAAACCGACGGGCTGGATTGTGACATGCTTGTCTGCATGAACGGCTGTATCAACACGCAATACCCTGGAGCTGTACAAGACGCTTGCCATTGGGAGAATGTGTTCCAACGGGGAAAAAAAGCGGGCCTCATTCTGTGATTCCATCTGTGTTGCCTGGATGCACCACTGTGTGGAACACTTAGCTTTGGCCCATTGAACCGCTCATGTGATTCTGTTTACAACCAGAGGTACGAATGCGCATAACTCATAGCGGTCGAGCTCGGTGTTCGGTTCGGGCGAAGTATGCATCGAGTTCGATCCATCATCAGAGGAATTTAAAGGGTGGGAAAAATTGGCCGAGGATTACGGGACGCTCCCGCTGAGTACGGTTCCTTGCATTGGTAGCCTTGGAAATCATGATCCAAACTTCACGAATGGTTTATCTAGCACGCACGAGCCCTACACATGCCAAGACTAACATGATCACTGTCGAGCTGTGGCCTCCGTGGAGCTGCAACGTGCTGGACTTGGATCTTCCGATTCACAGACGTCACGATCAAGGGATTCAAAATTTGGTCGATAGAGAGGTACTCCAACACCCCGGCCAATCGTACCCATTTATCTCTCCAAGTGCACAGCAAAACTTGTGATTCGCGAATTTATCTTTTTATGGCCATTTGGAGATTGGTGGTGGCGCGATCATGGGCATCGACTTCAAACTCAAGCCAATGCACACGGCACTGGTTTATTACCCGCCCTATCTCACTTTTTCATCGTCGTTCATTTTCGTGATAACTGGCACAAGGCATATGAATTATTCCAGACATATCTTGGCACGCTGACCACAGCCCATCACACATCGACCACGGATTTGCCGGGGCGTGACCCTGCCGCGCGCACATCAGGTCAGCCAGACACCCGCCCGCTTCATGGCTGGGCTGGGATAGCGGCACTGCGCAAGCCCAAAGGCGTTGACAGCCGGTCGAGTTTAGCGCGCCAACAAACTACGACGCCTGAACAAACAATGCGCGGTATGATCTGGCCGCGGGCGCTGCAGGTCAGTCTCGATAGATCAGGAGCGCCTGCCTTTCCATTCGCCCACCCTTGGCGGGGTGGGCTCGAGTCGCTCTATGTGCCCGCTAGTTGTCCTTTGCAGAAATGGGCCGCGCCCAGTGGCAGCGGTAGCTCTTAAGTTCAGGTGACGTCAGTGGGAGCGTCAGACGAACCGTACCGAGCAATGCGGCACGTTAAACTTCTGACGCCGTATTCTGCTGTCCACCTGGAATTTCATGATTGAATGGTAAGGGTCAGGACTCACACAACAAGCACTGCTTAGGATGAGCTCTGGTCACAGAAATCCATTCATTCGAAAAGCTCGGATCTGTAAACAAATCTGTAAACAAGATATTTCCGTTCCAAGAACTTTCACGGCACCTACCAGCGTCTAAGCGCCGAAGGGCCACCGTTGTCATAAAACCATGACCGTCTGTTTGTGTGCACCCGATGCCCGGACGACCCCTGACAAATTTTTGGTCAAACAGGTGAGCACGGCCTAGCCGGTGACAGCGCGGAGAGCTCAGCCGCGTTACAAGCTCCATCGACTTGACCTGGAGTGGTATTCGCGACGCTCATAAAAGGCGAGATGGCTCCGAGAAAACGAGGCCGATAGCTCCGCTACCAAACACCGTTCTAACCGGTTGCACGGGCTGCCACATACGGGGCAGGTGTGCACAAAGCTCGGACATCTTGCCAGCCTCTGACGTCACGTGACCGGTCGATGCAGACACGGCTCGTTGCGAAAGCGGGGTGGTTCCCGGACCAGGCAGTGCCCGAAACTGGTAAAAACACCGACACGGGTACAGTTCCACTTTTAGCCAAAGATATGGACACGCTGAGCCGAGTACTGTGCACTCAACAGGTCGACTAAAAAACTAGCGGTGTCAATCAACCGAGTAAAATTAACGACGAAACAGAAAAGTCGCTATATTTGACATCACAAGAAAACCCGGAAAACCCTCAAGCACAGCCATCGTACACGACAAGCTTTGCGTCCCAGAGGAGGCTGTACCAATCCGACGGGCAACCTGGTGAAGACATGCCTGGATCATGGATACAGCATGTTAAACTTGCACTTGTGTTGCCGGCGCCAAGGGTACGACCCATTACGCCATCAGGTTGTTTATCGCAGCGTCGGCTCTAATTCGCTGCAGGTGTCGCCTTTAACGCAGTTGTTAAAACATGCGGCCGCAGTACGTGATGGCGTTTACGACGTAACTTCGGAAGCCTGCACAGTAACCGAACCACGTCAGCCACCTATACACGGGAAAGCGGATAGCGAGGCGCAGGCTTGCCTGACATCAGCGCAGCCTGGACCAGCAACTCAAGCGCCGATCACACCAACATGAACGTCAGCCGGCACGCACGTGAGATTGGTGGTGCAGGGGCTGACACCCGCACCTTCAAATCGCATGGGAAAACCAATGTCGCCCACGGGCGGCCCACGCACCCAGCCACGCTCACTTGGGTGAGCTCCGAGGGACTCATCCGGGCGCTCCTAGCCACCAGGGGCGCGGTGAACCGCCATATGCATTCACGTGTGTATTGGTAAATCATTATTGCCTTTTTTCGTCTTTAGCTTGTCTTGGGGCCGAACAAACCAACTTCCAAGGTTTGCACACCGTTTGGTGGCTACAAGAGCGTGTGGCTTTAAAAGTCGCGATACCTTCTCCGATACTCCCTTCACACCAGGCAAAATCACGAAGGCTGATTGCCGGCTGAAACGTTTTGTGTTCTTCGATGATGGAGCTTTTGAGTTTTTTTGACAAACGTTTTTGGAAATGATTGAATTTCCAAGCTTCGTCAATGCATTTATCCTTTCTCCTATTTTTGTGGCGCATTTTCCATAGTTATTATATATTGAACATGTTTGTTTATATTGATCGACGTCCAGGAATGAAAACCCAAAAGGTGAGAGACTTGAGCAGCGCCGCGTGACGACTGCTGTGGGTGTTTTTAGTTCAAGGAAACGCTTAAAAAGGGAACAGGAAGACGCCCGGCGATTTCAGCTGGCAGGCTTGTCAAGATTCCGCTGGCCGAAGCGGGGCCAGCCACCGAGTTCGGCACTGAAGGTCGCGTAGAAGACCACGGAGCTCAGCGAAGCGATCCACTCGGCCACGGTGAAGACGGTGCACATTCTGCCTGACTCGCTGAGTCGGAACGTCTCCATTGCTGCGGCAGATCGGTGCACACAAGGCAACTAAATGTGCGCTTCACCGTACAAATGGAGGGGCGCTGATGGTATGCAAGTGACCTCTTTGCTACTGATACGCATGTGCAAAGTTTCTGCAATATTCCTCAGGAGTTGTACTTGGTTATGGCATGCGCCTCCGAACTATGCATTGGATTGTGGCTGTGATAGGAAAGCTGACCGAGTTGAAAATAGATGTTGCCCCTATATCTGGGTGCCTTTCCATTTTCTACCTATTTTTACTTCAAACCCGTCCTGCTAGTGTTGCCTTCGGGTGTCCTGACAAAGGCTCTCCTATGATCTCTAAAATTAAGTAAACCAGACTCATTGGGAAGACGGCATTGACACGTTCTCGTCAAACGCAATTACAATGGTGAGAACGAACAATAGTGAACTTGATCCTTAACAGGGCACATTTGGTCACCGACATGACCTCCAGAAAGAGGCCATAGATAACAGGCCGACAATATCAGGACAGCACGTCCAAAAATGATGCAAGCTCAACTACCTACCGACACAGAACACAGACAAAAAAAAAATGTAATGGACAATGTCATAGTCAAGGCAATGTTCTACGCTTTGCACGTAATGCGGCTGCAAAATGAAGGGTCTGAAACAGTTTGCATTATTCAATGTCACATGGAAATTGGTAGGACCAGCCGAAACCTATAATACTATCTGGGAGACGACAATTCCTCTTGCTATTTTGTGTCGACTTAAACACTGACCTGAAGCATCACAAGTCGCCACCAGCTCGAGGCGAGCTGACCAGGCCCCGGATGGCACCAACCAGTCGCCGACGAGACATGCCACCACGCTAAGGCCGCCGATGCCAAACAGAACGACCCTGAAGAGCCTCAGTCTGTTCAAGCCGGCTGGCGTCAGCAGCGTGCGTAGGCCAATGAAGGCCAGGCCACAGCCGAACGCCACATACGCACCAACGAAGTGCGCGTTCCTCCGGGGCCCGGCTTCGGCGCACCAGGCGAGGGTCAGCTGGCCGGCCGAGCAGGCCAGGCCAAGAGCCAGGCTGAGCGCGGAGAGCCAGCCGCGCGGGGTCACCGCATATAGCCGGCAGCTGATGAGGCTCATTAGCATGGCAAGCAGCGAGCCCAGCAGAGTGAAGAGGAATGACTCGGGCGCGCACACGCCCGAGTCACTCACAAGCGGCAGCAGCGGCTGCTGGTGGCCGAGGAGCGTGCTCACCGCGTACGGCACGAGTACTAGAGCCAGCGCCGAGCCGGCGAGCAGCAGCGGCAGTCAGCCGATCCAACGCCGACAACGCGCCATCCCACCGGCCGCCAGATGGCGCCAGCAGCGGCGTGCGCGGCGAGGGCGGCCGGGACGCCCAGGCCGCCGTCGCCGACGCTGGGGCGGCGCCGTCGGCCGCGCCGCCCGGAGGGCACTCTCGGCGCGCCGGCGGAGAGGAGTGAGCGGTCGGCATCGCTGGGGCACCAGGTGCGCGGTCACACGTACCAGCAGCTGTCACGCTTGCCACAACGCTGAGGCCGGACGCGCGTCGACTGACGCAGGCGTGTTCGCTCCGCGGCGCAGCGAAGGCGGCCGAAGACGCCGCCCAACGATAGTCCTACGTTCGCCAAGGCCCGGCAGCTGCAGCCGCTGTTTGTGCAAGTGGCTTTTGCTTGTGCAGCACGTCACAGAGAACAACACAGGGAGCTAGAATCGCTTTTGAACTAGAGTGGGAGTGAAAAATTCCATCGCAAAAAGACCGTGCGGGAGTGAAAAATTCATTAACAAAAGACGGAACTTATGAGCTCGTGACTGGTGCTTCAGCGAACAAAGACATCTATTTCAAGTTGGCATGGAGGTAATATCAGAAACCTGACAAAACTTTTTCGTTTTTTAACATCTTAGGCCATTAAAGTGAAACAGAACACATTCACACGCGCTCGGGTGGTGGCGGGGGGGGGGGGAACTGACACCCCGAGGGCATTTCCCGAATGGTTTTTGAACGGCGCGGCGCAGCTGCGCCACATTTTGCATAGCTCTAGAAAATTGTATAGCGGATCGTCTGACAAACCAATTTTAGAAGTACCTTGTCAGGTCGCTGACCTATGACAGGTCAAAGTCAGCCCATGGTTTCAGCGAAGGCAGTTTCTAGGGAATCGTTCAATCTGATGCAACAACGGAGTGTTTGACGAAGACAGACATATCTGAGACGCTTTCTTAGGCACCGAAAATATTGAATGAACAAATTACGTTGACCTAAGGTCGTGTGTGATAGTCAGACCAAGGTCAAAACCAACCTGATTTATTACTGTGGGGGTTGCTGTATGGGATACTTTCTGGTGCTCATTTCGAATTTATTGACAGCAGGAACCGCATCATACATTTTCAATTGACTTCTTGGAGGTCAGAACAGGCCATTGACCTAATACGACCCGGGTCGAACGTTTTGTTTTAGGAACATACAGCGTAGTGTAATCTTTGTCGCTTATTGAAATGAAAACGCAGAGCAGCCCTATATAATTTTGGTCACCATGACCTTCAAAGGGTCAAACAAGGTCAATGGCCTCAAATAGGCTTGTGAACTTTTACGTAGAGATAGTTGGCTAGGTTCTGTGGGCACTTCGGAGATCAATCTGGAATTTGGCCTTGGTTGACCTTATTCGACCTGAAGGTCATGACCTAGGAGCTGAAACCTTTATCTAAGTGAGTTCGCGTATAGGTCAGGACACCCTGTAAATTTGGTGTCTCTAGCTTTCTTAGTTCCCGAGATCTCAGAGGGGGGGTTCATATTGACCCCCACACCCGAGCGAAGGGTATCTAGCCGGCCAACCGGGCGCGTGTTAAAGCATAGTAATTTCATGACAGTATTATGAGCATAACAAATTACTAACACCAAGAATTTGATGCTGCACTTTTCAATTCCCTTCCACAGCACTTCTAAAGCAAAACGAAGCAAAGGAATACACACACAACAAACAATAACAATATAACAAGCAGAAAATTCACAAGCATAAAACACTCAACAAAAAAAACACTGGACTCCTACACATCAGCCCATCACCAAGTCAAACACAATAGACATACTTCTGGCTTCTGTTAAGGAGGGGGTCAGGGAAAACAAACATTTTGTCACTGTTTCTTACAAAATATCTATGCATATTTCCATGAAAGTAGCCTATGCCTAACATAAAGAGGCCTTACATCATCTCATCATGCATAACTTGTTTGTATCACAGCAGCAGTTGTGAGTTACCGATTCTTGCACACTTCCTATTGCCACTTGCCATGCACTTAACCAACTTAACCTAACTTAGAGTAGCCCATATGATGAACGTCATCTCAACTCACCGATCTGTTTACAGCAGCACTTGTAATAAAAGCATGATATTTAAAGCTAGTTTTTGGCTGGTTTCAACTTGCATTTTTACTCATTAATTTGTGCATGCTTGTTGACATCAGACAAAGTTGACAACACATAAATCAAAACACTTCAAATCACTTTGAACAACTTATTTTGATTGTCATGGTTAGCCTATGTCAAGGGCAATAATGGGTATGCTCCACAAAACAATCTTTCGTCTCCAAAAATTACATAACTTTTAGATGGCCATGCCAGTATTGCTGCTTGCCTTTTCAGCTGCAGCAAACGCGTCCATTTGGGCTTGCTTATTCATATTCAATAACAATGTTTGAAATGTTCGCTTCACATTTTAAATGGGGTGGTCTGAGTATTTGTTGCATAACAATATTTAACTCATATTATAATTGCTATGCAGCTTAGAGTATCCCTGTGCTAAAAATATAGTGCATATATACAGTACAGTCATTTGCTGGTCAGCAAATCATGACAACTATAGAAAACATCTGGTTAAAGCAGCGATGAAGGACCACTTCAAGAAATTTGGGCAAATAACCAAGAATATGGAACAAAATAAGCCCATTGCGTGCCTTGTGGCATCATAATTTGTCTTATGGCAAAACTCGATGCATTAAAACAGAAAATGGTCAACTCTGGTTACCAGTCATGTGTTGAAAGCAGGTAAGGCAAGCAATTACTTGGTCCACAGGAGACTTACCGGCTTCTTCCTGCTCCCCAAAAACAAAAATTCAGTACCTTTTGCGCGGTTTGCTGGCAGACAGAGTCATCCGAGCCTCCCCCAAATATAAATATCAATCATGCCCACCAACCTTTGAGATCAAAGTGCGAAACAAGTAAGAGGTGCGCATGGTAAACATCCCCTCAGGGCAGAATTGCGCCATCAAACACCTCTGTATTAGCTGCGTCAGGTCTGTCTGAAGGCTGCATATGGCAGCATATTCTAATGTTGCCATACAAAGGCAGCATTAGACAATGCTATTTTAGGCCTTGCCAGGTAGCCTGGTAAGTCAGACAATCGAAAAGCTTGGATTTATCCTTATTGAGCACCGCCATGAACCAAGAAAACAGTTCACCGAAGGTTTAAAAGGGCAAAAATGGCGGTAAAAATAAGTTCCGTGCCTCAAATTGTCTCCTTCATTCCCCGTGAATTGTTCACGCTTGGGTGCATATGAAACAAGTTTGGGCGGCTGGCGAATTTATCCCATCTATGTATGAAATACGTACAAGCTTGCAGTTGAAGCATCTTGCAGAGAAATTGGTCAACATTTTAAGCAGAAGATTGTTCCTCTAAAGGCAATCAAAAAGGAAGAAAGAATAAAGTGGTATCACACTGGTATGATATCAAGAAAAACAAAAGTGGCTAAATAAATAAAAAGACTAGTACTTTTCTCGAAAAACTTTGTAATCAGCTGATTTGACTTAAAATCTGGTAACACAAGTGCTCAAATGGTGACATTCATCTTGTAAGTTTAATTTAGAAGACATTTCTTAAACTTTTCTCTCCTGCATTTCGGGAATGATGCAATTTAGTGGTCAAGTCTCCTTGGGAAAAAAGAAGTACGTGGAGTAAAATTATCTACCAGGCCTTGCTGGGTGTTTGCACCAGCCTCTGCTTTCGTGGTGTGGTGGTGAGACCAAAAAATAGGGGACGCGTGAAAGCCTTCCATTTGGCGCACAGCTGCAGATTTTGATGCATTTTGTAAACAAACCAAACTTAATGCGTGCAAGCGGGTGGGGTCACTCGGGTCCTTGGGCTTGGAGGTACCTGGCGCCCTTGCTCTGTGCATACATAGACATGATTCAGATGTAGGTGAGGCAGTACATAGCCATAGGTGTCCAGGTTCCGCGGAGCCTCGTTTATGCTTGGTGGTTTCAAGTGAGCTCGGCTTTGGACGACATCTGAAAACCTTAGAGAAGGAAATAGGGGTTTGGCATGTGCGATTACACAATGTCAGGCAGGAGCGAAAAATTCACATAACATATGGGGAAAAGGAGTGAAAAATTCCTCCTCATAGGGTGCTGCTGCACACCAAAGTCGGCATTTCTAGGACACTGGCACAACACGTGTATCTAGACTCCCGTTTGTGTATTTGGGGCATAAATACATCAATATATTCGGCCAACAAAGAGCCTAAAGGGCCCATCGACGTTGGCCTACCTCAGGTTCCGTACACATCCTCAAAACTAATCACCTGACCTACGTAAATTTAGCTCTAAATGAGATCTCTAGACCGACAGAAATTATCCAAACGGTTTTTGAATGTTGCTAGAGAGGGGCTTCCTAAAATTTTGTTTGTCAGCCCCTTCCAATGGTTAATGGTTCTTTGACTAAATGACATCGGCCTTTTCGCACTTGTTCTCCCACCTTCTGCTAAATGAAATTGGGTTTTTCTGTGTTTCGGCCTAATTTCCAGTGTTCCATGTATATCTATTTTCTCCATCCCCTTCATAATATTGCATGCCTCTATCAGATTCCCTCTAAGTTAACGATATTTCAGTGAATATAAATTCAATGCCCTAAGCTCATCTCTATGTCCAAAGTCGCCGATCCCATTTATCATCCCAGCTGCTTTTCCCTATACTCTTTTCAACTATACACACACCACACACACACCACACAACACACACACACACACACACACACACACACACACACACACATATATATATATATATATATATGTGTGTGTGTGTGTGTGTGTGGTGTGTGTGTGTGGGTGTGTTGTGTGTGTGTGTGTGTGTTGTTGTGTGTGTGTGTGTGTGGTACGTATATGGATCTCTCTC